ATCAGGTAGGCAGGTTAAAGCAGAGATGGAGGTTATCCAGGTTGGTATGAAGCAGGGCTGTATAAATCAGGTAGGCAGGTTAAAGCAGAGATGGAGGTTATCCAGGTTGGTATGAAGCAGGGCTGTATAAATCAGGTAGGCAGGTTAAAGCAGAGATGGAGGTTATCCAGGTTGGTATGAAGCATGGCTGTATAAATCAGGTAGGCAGGTTAAAGCAGAGATGTAGGTTATCCGGGTTGGGATGAAGCAGGGTTGTATAAATCAGGTAGGCAGGTTAAAGCAGAGATGTAGGTTATCCAGGTTGGTATGAAGCGGGGCTGTATAAATCAGGTAGGCAGGTTAAAGCAGAGAGGTAGGTTATCCGGGTTGGTATGAAGCAGGGTTGTATAAATCAGGTAGGCAGGTTAAAGCCGAGATGGAGGTTATCCAGGTTGGTATGAAGCAGGGTTGTATAAATCAGGTAGGCATGTTAAAGCAGAGATGTAGGTTATCCAGGTTGGTATGAAGCTGGGCTGTATAAATCAGGAAGGCAGGTTAAAGCAGAGATGTAGGTTATCCAGGTTGGTATGAAGCAGGGTTGTATAAATCAGGTAGGCAGGTTAAAGCAGAGATGTAGGTTATCCAGGTTGGTATGAAGCAGGGCTGTATAAATCAGGTAGGCAGGTTAAAGCAGAGATGTAGGTTATCCAGGTTGGTATGAAGCAGGGTTGTATAAATCAGGTAGGCAGGTTAAAGCAGAGATATGGGTTATCCAGGTTGGTATGAAGCAGGGCTGTATGAATCAGGTAGGTAGGATATTGCAGAGAAGTGTAGTTGTAGATAATCCAAGTTAGTAAGGAGCAGGGGTGGTAGCAATGCAGGTAAGTTACAGGTTCTCACACAGGAGCCAGGATATGAAGTCCTTGGTATGAACACCAACTTCAATGTAGAGGCCACTGGTATTCTTGGCTGTGGCCTTTTGTAGGACCTGTAATTAGTCCAAGGCAGGTGAGGACTGAGGTGACTGGTGGCTAGGGAGGCCACGAGTGGTGGAGAGCTGGAACTTCTTTTAAAGGAACATAAATAAATGAAGATAAAACATAGTTGTCAGGATATGATCCTGACACTGTGACCCCAAGAACGCCATCCCTACCATCATACATGGAGGTCAAATTATGC